TTCTAATATGCTGATTTGCTGCTCAAGAAACATTTTTTATTATCACTGAAAACTGTGATTAATTTTTTTCAGGATTTTTCGATTAATCATAGGCTATATATTGATTCAAAAGAATAGCATTTATTTGAAATAGAAAACATTTGTAACATTATAAATGACTTTACTGTCACCTTAAATGTATTTTAATTAATAATATACATTTAATATAATATATTATTAAGCATTTGAATTTAAAGCTAGTCATTGTATCATTTATGGCTTTTATTAACCTGCTTCGCAGATAATTTATTTTGACCTGTGGTGTGTTTAACATTTCTGGTATTTCACACACAGCAGTGACCCAGACGGCGATGACACACTAGCATAAGCATTGCACTAGGACACTAATCCCCAAAAGGTGTTCTTATCTCTTGGATCATAAAACTCTCAGAGGCATACTTAACCTGGTAAAGCCACACATAGCCACCTACACCTCCTTTAATAATTGACTACCATACAAGGCTTGCATTGCCATTTGTTTACACAGACGCTCTCCAGCACGCCTCCACCCTTCGCTGGTATCTGGTGTAGCTGGAAATGGAGTGAATCAGCAGTCTGCGCGAGTGATCTCACTTTTATTCAGTATCTCTTTCTGTTGTCTGTGGTCACATCCCAGAGGATCAAACCCCTTTCTTCTCTGGTTCTCCTGTATGGACATGTTGACTCGGTTAGATATAATCACTTCCTCTCGACTGTGCAGAACGGATGTTACTTGATTGTCTCCAGAAACAAGTTTATTTATAGTAAACCACAGATTAAATACATGAATAGACCTTTGTTTGCAATTGTAAATGCTTTGTCATAAATCAGTTTTGTCATTTTGAAAGGGAGACGGTTTGATATGTATTGAGCTTTTCAAAAATAACGACTGTTTCCATACAGGTTTCCCAAACACTCCCTCTGTTTACCATTGGTTGGACAAACCGATAGTCTTGTCCTAAAACTAATGTCATTGGTTGAGACATTGTCGATGTTTAGGGATGGTTGTGATGCTCAGACAAAAACATGTCAATGCTTTCATTAGCGTCACAGTGTTTGTTTTTTTCTGGGAAATCAACCTACTAATATTGCACTCATACTTGTCTCTGCGTATTAAGCTAGGATATCAGAAAGCTATTTAGCACAGAAAA